TCCTCTTTCAACTCGTGGCGAACGGTTAGCTTTTCTCTTTGTTCTATTGACGCTTTCTCACCGTTCTTTCACCCTTTATCCCGCTCAATTCATCACGAGACATACACATTGCACGCAACCGAGATGCAGCGTAGCCGCTGATGACAGCGTGCGAATACACGTGTTGTATGCATATGGAAAGCTGTGTACAGTTTGCGTCGTTTGCTGACGATTCAAAATCAAAATGTCGTCATTCGGTTATATACTTATTACGTTTCAATATTATTCTAACTTGCGTTTATTCTAACTTGCAATTATTGGCTTCTTAATTTCATTCTTCAATTATTCCATGCATCTCTGAAATCTAAAGATACGCAGATGAGGGAAGGATAACATAATAACTCTTTGTATTTAGTATCTCATTATGCTAAGTATTTATCACATTAAACTGAATAATATCCGTGGTATAAAAAATATTAATTAGTTCACAGATCCGTTAAAATAAGTATATATACAGTTACTAAAATATGGAGATTGAATAGCTACATAGAAAGAACGGTTTTGCTAAAGTATTTAAAAATTTAACTAGATATGGCAAAAATAGCTAGATATAACTGAAAATAATTATTTGGATCAAAATAATCATATAAATAATCACATCAAAATAATTATATATAGGTCAAACTAGTTGCTAGAAAACTTTTTACAGCGTTGTCATTTACGTTGAAGTGTCCTAATATAATTATTTTGATATTTTAGTTCAATAAAATTATTTTAGATCTGTGTGTATCTGACTAATTTTTAGATACTTCAGTAAAACCATGTACAAATAAAATAACATGTTCCGCTTATTACATTTTCTTACGTTCAGTCTGTTTTAAAACTCTATCATTAAAATGGTTAAGTTTTTTTAGCTTGCGAATCTTTAATTTACAATAAATTTCGACTAAGGATTAAACTTGTTACAATCTTAAACTGCGCCCAACTAAAGACGCTTTTCCCTTTACTAAATGTTAACAGAAAAGATTTTTTTTCATATCACGTGAAACTTCTTATAATGTGAAACTATGTAACTCCAGTTCGTTCGGTTTACACGTAAATCCAAGTTCTTCTAATTCACATACATTTCACATAATTCGTTTTATCAACGATACTTGATATTGATTTACTGAACGAAGTTCTTTCGTATTTATCTGTTATACTTCACAAGTAATATAAAGTTCTAGTATTATCGTAGTTATTGTGAAACTTTTAAATAATGTTAACAATTGGATTAGAAGTCCAACAATAGAAGATTAAACAATATTAGATTAAATTTTTTGAGTATTGGAGGATGTAATGTTCCTAAAATTGTGTCTTACTCTGAGACAAGTAACATACTAAATTGAAAATGTTTCTCTCTAAAGAAATAAAATTTTTTTAAAATTCAAGAAAATGCACTTTCTCTGATATTCTAAAAAAAATTAATTCAAGAGGGACTCGGATTTATGTGTAAACCAAACAAACAGGAGTTATATAGTTTCACATTATAAGAGGTTTCACACAATATATTAGGTGTAGTAAAAAGAAATCCATTATTTTTGCAATTGAATGGAAAAATAATGGATTTCTTTTTACTATACCTAATAAAAAAAAATCTTAATATTTAGTGAAGGAAAAAGCGTCTTTAATCAGGTAATTTAAGATTGTAACAGCGCAGTTTAATCCTTAATCGAGCGAGAAGCTTACTCCAAATCTTGAGATATTTACTTCTTATACTATTAAAATAATATTAAATAATATTCAATAATATTTAACTATAAAAGATAAAGGAATATGTGTATGTTTTAAATCAAAGTTAAAAGTACAGAGCAATCAAATCAGCTTGTTCCATTTACGTAAAAACATTTAAATAGCTGCGGAACGTGTTGCGCTCTGTTTGTCCGCTGACGGTACGAAAATAGATTGCCCAGATAAGGATTAAATCAACTACTCTGAGTTAATCCGCACAAACGGACGTTACGGATTCTCAAACGGAACATTTCGAGAAAGAAACTTCGTTTCAATTTCTTCTAAATCAGTGTACAATTTTCTTAAGGTTTATTCGGTAAGTGCAAATTACACGCGTTTCGCCCGCAAACACGCGCCAACGATGTTACACATCCGCCTGTACAATTATCCCGCACTGGTTTCCGAGAGCAAGGTCAGTGCGTGCTAGAATCTTACTGGCGCAACGTGTGCCAATTTCGAAGTACCTTCTATAAGTCGTTTGAAATGAAGATGAAAACAAGAAACATACTAATCAAAACGACATTTTTTAAGAGGATGCTGGAGCGATCAAATTTAGTCGACATTATAGTCATATAAAAATCTCCAAATTGACTGAACGAAATAAAAAATCCTTTTACAGGATTAAAGTAAATGCAAAATTAGGAAGTGGTGCAGTGGACTTTATAAAATCGAAAAAAAGGTAAAAATTTATTTTAGCTTTTTTTCAATTTTAGTTTAAAGTCTACTGTACCATCTCCTAATTTTGCATCTACTTTAAAAGGATTTTTGATTCTGTTTAGTCAAGGAAGAAATTCGGAGATTTTTATATGATTGTCGATAGTTTGGTCACTCCCTTTAATTATCTTAATTCAGAGACATTCTGACTGTGTTTCGATATACACTGGAAAATTTTCAGTACACATAACGTGAACTGTAGATTTTCAATACTAATAATGTATATATTGGAACAGATCTTCATAGAGACGCGATTGCCTCCAACTGATAAACGCATAAACATTGCCTCCTCAAAGCGGCATTTTTGCTGTCTCTTTTTTCTAATTATCTTGGAGACTTTCTATTATACAGGGTGGGCCATCTAGCGTTTGGAATTTCAACTACCGGTTATTTTGAGTTTGAAAGGCGTAATAACATTTATGACATATCAGAAATTTAGTTTTTTGTTTGACATTAAATGGGTCGCTATACGCTTGAACAAAATTGGGAAATATTGAAAACTTACTTCCAAAGTGGTGAATCTTCAACCCAAACTGTAAGAAATTTACATGGAAAATTTGATAGAAAAGAAATGCCTTCAACGCAGTTTGTGGATCAATTTGTGAAGCGAATTCGGCAAACTGGATCCTTATTGAATAAAGCAACTCGTTCACGTGCTCGTCCAGTAAGGTCAATCGAAAACATTACTGCTGTTGCTCAGAGTGTGCTTGAACAACCAACATCAACTCGTCATCGTTCTCAAAACTTGAACATTTCACGCATTTCTTTGAGAAGAATTTTGAATAAAGACGTCGGTAAATGGCAATGTACTACCTTTCCAAAAAGCCATATTGTATACAGTTTACAGTCATTTGTGTCCTGTACATTTTCTTTATTTGAAAAACTAGGAGCATCAAATAATTAGTTATAACACTTACACGTATACAATTTTTTTAAATATACAATATATGAGTATAAATATTGTCTAAAGTATGTGTAAGAATTACTTAATAGTTTTTATACATTTGTTAAAATGATAAAAATTAAAGATATGAACGACCCATCGTGTGTAATAAAGGATTAGAAAATCATCGTATGTACTAAGAATAAAGATAACTAGAAAAAAAAATATTTACGTGAAAGTCTCGTAAAGCCATAAACTTTGAAAAATATTTATGTGTTTTTTTTAGAGCCAAATTAAATTCCAAATTTTAAATGGCCCACCCTGTATAACAAATGCAATTGCTTGAATCGATAAACATTACCTCTTTTCTATAAATGTACATTATATGAAAGATTAAGATAAAATAAGATTAAGATAAAAATGAGAAATGTACATTTTCAAAAGAAAGAATTATTCTTCAAAACGGCGTAATTTTGCGTAAATATTTTTTTCTAATTGTCTAATTCGGAGACGTTTTATGGAGATATGATCACCTCAAACTGACGCTACTTCTTTTCTGTAAATTTATAATTTTATGAAATTAAAATAAAAACGAGATTTTCACATAAATATCTTTTTTTCTAGTTATCTTTACTCTTAGTACATATGATGATTTTCTAATCCTTTATTACACACGATGGATCGTTCGTGTCTTTAATTTTTATCATTTTAACAAATATATAAAAACTATTAAGTAATTCTTACACATACTTTAGACAATATTTATACTTATATATTGTATATTTAAAAAAATTGTATACATGTAAGTGTTATAACTAATTATTTGATGCTCCTAGTTTTTCAAATAAAGAAAATGTACAGGACATACATGACTCAATCGCATGTACTAAGAATTTTCAGAGATAATTCGAAGATACCATATAGAGATAGATGGTAGACGATTGCCTCGAACTGCTAAACACACTAGCGTTACCTCTATTTTATAAACTGTATATACAAAATTACTTACATAAGCAATTTTCTTTTAACAGAAATTTGTAAGAGAGCTAGAATTTCAATGAACTTAACTGAAACAATATTTAAGAATACGATTCAAGAATTATCCGAAAGACAAGAAATATTGCTCGAAAGTTCCGGGAAAGTTCAGGATAAAGAGAGGAGGGGAAGAAAAAGAGGACACATGATGAATACAGGTTTTCAAAGATTCATCTTAATATCCGCGCATTCCGGTATTCAAGAGTAAAAATTCAAGAAGTTTTTTTGAGCTATAGGAACACCCGGTAGATCCGCAATCGAGTCCAAAATTCACGAAGCGCCAGTTTAATACTCCCCTTCTTATGTAAACCGTGTGTGCCGTTGTTGCTTCCGACTACGCGGTGCTCCAGTGTTATATACTATGTCGGAGA